CTGAGATTCTATTACTGCTTATGATGTCAGAGTTCTTTTCAGACTTTTAAATGCTTTATTTCAGCTTTTAATTGAATTACTGCATTCATCGTTCCACCATGGAACAGCTTTCTTCCTCCCATTTCCTTCAACTTTTGGTATACTTTCTTCTGCCGCTTTGACTAAAATCAAAATTAATTTCTCTGTACAATTATCAATATCATCCTCTGTACTATAATTCTTTAATTTTAACTCACATATTTTATTATATTTCTCCCAATCAGCTTTTCCAAATTTCCATCTATATTGTTTTACCATCATACTCCTTTGCATTTCTAATCCTACCGTACAAATTATTGGAAAATGGTCACTCCCAACTGATGAATGTTCTAACACCTCCCATTGACATTTTGCTGCTATTGATGCTGAAACTATTGTTAGGTCTACACATGATTTTTTTTTGTTTCCTAATGTCAAACTTTGTCCCACTACCATCATTTAAGCATACCAATAAATTGTCTTCATGTATTCTTCCACCACTGTGCCATTTTTATCGGAGTTTGGACTTCCCCGTACCACACTATGTGCATTTAAGTCACCGCACCATATCCCTATACCTTCTTCTTTGCTCCAAATGTTACTTAATTCCATTAATGATATTTGTTCACAAGGATTGTAGTAATTTATTATTGTTACTTTTCCTAATGTTGTCCACACTTCCACTTTAATGCATTCATATTGTGTTTCTACCCTTATTTCCCTAAAAGCCACCCCATTCTTTAAAAACGTTGCACACCCTCCACCTGTTGCTCTTGACCTATCTTTTCTAATGGATATATACCCTGGAATGACGAAGTCTAACTGCGATTTAAGCCATGTCTCTATTTGTTTTAACCTTTGTCTGTCTGGGGTTTCCTGAGAGCTTGCATTATTCTCAGATTGCCCTAGTAGAGTCTGAATTTTCTCAACTGTTACCTCTGTTATACCCAGCTGACGAGCTGCTGCAGATATAATGATTTTCAGTTTTTCTGTTTGTTTGTTTGTTTGTGCTGTACAGTTGATGACTTCAACAATAAATGCAATGAAGCTTACTTTGCTGACCATAAGCATACTTGCATCTATATTTGTTTTATACTGCTCTGTTCCCTTGTTTGGTGTTTCAGTTGCATCAGACCTTCCAAGACTAGTTCTATTTTCTTGCTCATTTTGAACCTTCTTTACTGCTTGTGCATATGAAACATTATGCTCTTGTACTTCACTGCTTCCACGGCTTGTTTTTGCGCTACACATCCTAAATACGCTGCACTATGTGGGCCTCCACAGTTGCAACACTTAGGTTCAACTAAATCCCCACATTCTCCATAACCGTGTTCACCTCCACATTTACAACATTGTTTCTTTCCCTTGCATACTTCTGCTACATGACCCAACCTTTGGCAATTGAAACATCTTAATGCAGGTTTTATAAAAGGTCTAACTGGGTAGCACACATATCCCATTTTTACATTTTCTGGAAGCAGTCTCCCATTCA